TCTCCCCCCCCCCCCGCATTGCATTGCACCTGACGGCTTGTAAATAAATAAATACCTATGTGCTGCTCTGTTCACTCCGGCAAAGGGTAAGTACATCTATAGGAGAGACTGGGTGCAGCTTGACCCCGCTTTAACTCTCTTGGCTCAAAGGCTATGGGAGCTGTAGTTCGGCTCCAGACTTGCAAACTACAACTCCCACGGTTCCCTAGCCTTAAGCCATGGCAGTTCCAGTAGGGTCAAGCTGCACCCCAAGGCTCTCCTCCTCCCGTCCTATTCCTCCTTCGAGGGACCTTATGCACCATTCTGGTTGCTTTTCTCCCGGCTAGCTTTGAAATGTCAAGTTTAAAAGGCGCAAGGCAGCAGAGAAGGTTGAGCAAGGAACAGGACCCGAAGGGTTGGGAGGTCCTCAACAGACCCTGGCGCCCCGCGGAGATGGAAAACGACATTAGATGTGTGTAGTACCATCATCACAAATGAATCACGAACCTTTAGGAGGGTGAGAAGGATTTGTTTATGTCGTTGGGCCCAATGACGACGTTTAGATTCTATTTTATGTATTTATTTGACAGAGTCCAGTCTTCAATGTGTCACTTGAGATGACACTGGGGGGGGGGGGGGGGTATTTGGGCTCCTCTCTGCGCCCGTGTTGGTGTCGCTTCCCCGTGGGTTTGGAGAGGCGGGCTTCGCTGAGCGGAGTGCGGAATGTCTGGATGGGGACCGGTGAGCCCCGAGACAAAAGAGCGACTCTGCTCCATGTCCAGCCTTTTCATTATTGGCGAGTCTTCCTGACTTGCATTTCCTGCCTCGGTGACTTTTTTGTATTTACAGAACGACATTTATTGTGAGCATGGCTCACAATACACACACACCATTATATACTTACACACACAGTATATATCCCCTCTAGGAATGTATATTGTATATGACGATATGTGTCCATCGTCATCCAAGCAGCCATTGCATATTTATACCTACCTACCTATGTACATAACCATATTCGTGTGTGTCTCTGTGTGTGCGTTTAGTAGCTGCTTGGATAATTATGGATACACATTCATATATATGTGTGTATGTGTATTCCTAGAGGAAAAGATATATGCAGTGGCCACTTGGACAACTATGGATACACATTCACTCTCTCTCTCTCTCTCTCTCTCTCTCTCTCTATATATATATATATATATATTCCTAGAGGAAAATATAAACACATCCGTAGAGTGTCTATATTTTCCATTAGCAATATATATATATATGAGAATGTGTGTCTAATGTCTATTTTTCTCTAGGGATGTATGTGTGTGTGAATGAGAGAATGTGTGCCCATAGTTATCCAAGCAACTATTGTATGCATATTTTCATCTAGGAAAACATATGAATGTTTGTTTTATATACATTTCTCTAGAGATATGTATCTTCTAGGAAAATGTAGACACACATTCTTATATATGTGTGTGTGTGTATCTATATTTTCATATATATATATATATATATATATATATATATATATATATATATATATTGAATGTGTGTGTTATATACATTCCTCTAGAGATATAAATCTAGGAAAATGTAGACACACATTCTCTCTCTCTCATATATATATATATATATGAAAATATAGACACACGTACACACACACACCCATATATATATATGAGAATGTGTGTCTACATTTTCCCATATGTGTGTGTGTGTGTAAGAAAATGTAGACACACATATATATACACATATGTGTGTGTGTATGTATACACACATATACACCTAGAGGAAAATATAGACGCTCATTCTTATGTTTATATATTCTTATTGGAAAAATAAACAGTATATGCAGCAGTGGCTTGGATAACTATGGACAGGACACACACTCTTGCCTTAACTTCTCCCCTCCTTCTCTTAGGAAATGGCGATGGAGGATCTCTCCGCGGTTCTGTTTAAGGAAATCATCCCTCTGGTTTGGTTTCCTAATCGGACTCCCCACCCGAAATCTCCCTGAAACCCCGTCCAAGTGACCTAGGCAGCCCTTGCCTCTCATGGATGGCGTTTTCCCCCCCAATCCCTGCCTCCCATAACAGGAGAGGGGGATAATAATAATAATAATAATAATAATAATAATAATAATAATAATAATAATAATACCTGGAGAGCTGGTGCTGTAAGAAGAGGAAGAAGGGAAGAAGAGAAGGAGGGGGAAAGGGGTTCGGAAGGGGGGCGGGAGGCGAGTGGGGGGCGGCTTAAATCATGCAAAGCCCTGCAAATCTGGGGCACGGGACTGGGGCGGCCAGGCTCCCCGGGCAGGCAGGTGCAAGAGCGGCCCGGACCCAGAGAGAGAGGGAGCTCTTTAGGGAGGAAACCCGCAGAAAACCCGCACGCCTTGTCCCCCTTTTGAAAGGCACAAATCTCAGAACAATGGGGAAGTGTGTCTGTGTTCGGGAAAGGGAAAAGGAGAGAGAACCGAGGGAGAAAGCCCAGGGACGAGGGAAATGCTTTATGTCTTTCTGAAAGACCGGATTCTGAATTTATCTAGATGTGTGTGCGCTCATATACACACGAACTTGTAGGAACAACCTTTCAAAGGACCGATCGCTTGGTCAACCATTCAAATGTCTTGTTTTCTCCCCAATGGGAGACGTCGCTTTGTTAAAGTACAGTCCCAACCTTGCTTTGTTTTCAAAATCTCGACTGTAAAGCCAATGTGTGGGGAAGTGCGGGGGGGGGGGGGGGGGGGGTTTTCCTCCCATTTAGAAGGTATGCTTTCAGAGCAGCATGTACATGAATATATATATACAAGTTCATATACATATATATATAGAGAGAGAGAGAGAGAATGTGTGTGTGCTCACGAATACAAGATAGAGAATGAATATATGTAAGTGTGTAAATAGAAAGAGAGAATATATGTGTGCGTGCGAATATATAGATACAAATATAGATACAGATATATAGAGAGAAAGAGAATAATACGTGTGTGTAAATATATATATGTGTGTGTGCGCGCGTGCGGGAATACAGATATATATATATATATAGAGAGAGAGAATGACTATATGCGTGTGTAAATAGGGAATATGTTTGTGTCTGTGCGTGAATATATCTGCATATCTATATACAGAGAGAGAGAGAATGAATATATGCATGTGTAAATAGGGAATATATGTGTGTGTACGCGTGAATATAGATATACCGGTGTATATATATAGAGACTGATATATGTATCTATAGAGAGAGGACGAATGTGTGTGTGTAAATAGGGAATATATATATATAAATAGGGAATATCTCTAGAGGTATGTATATAAAACACATATATGAATATGTGTTTTATATACATACCTCTAGAGATATATATCTTCTAGGAAAATACATTCTCTCTCTCTCTCTCTCTCTCTATATATATATATATATAGAGAGAGAGAGAGAGAGAGAATAAATATATGCGTGTGAATAGGGAATATATATATATATAGCGCGAATATAGATGTATGTATAGAGAGAGAGAATGATATGTGTAAATATATGTGTAATAAATAAATAAATAAATTATATGTGTAAATATAGAGTCTGTGTGTGTAAATAGAAAAAATATGTGTGTGAGTGCGAATATATATATATATATTATATATCTACAGAGAGAATGATATATGTGTGTGTAAATATGTATATATAGAGAGAGAGGGAGAGAGAGAGAGAATGAATATATGTGTGTAAATACAGAGAGAATATATCTGCGTATATACACATATATAGGAGGGATGCTTAGATATATGTGGAGGGTGTAAATACCTATGTGTGTCTGTCTCCGGCTGGGAAAAGAATATTTACGGTATTTCTTGCCTGTCCTTGAGTCCCCTTTCTGATTTCTTGCAAAGGCTGCTCCTGAGAGAAACTCGCTTCTGGCCGCTCTCTGGCTGCAAAGCCACTGTCACCTTTGTCTCTATTCTGAATTTATGTAAACACAACGCTCCCCTTGACAACCAGAAACTACCTGGTGGGTTTCTCCCCTCTTCTCCCCAGCCTTTTTGGCTCACTGTCACCATCACCAACACTGACAGGAGGAGGATAAAAATAGAGACACATACATACTCATCGAAAACATGGCATCGTTTCCTATAGATTTTTTTAAAAATCAAGAGAGAGAGAGAGCATCTTAGCAGGCACCAACACGTGGAGAGTCACCTTTACAGGGTAAAGAGAGAGAAAAAGTCCAAGTTCCATCACCTTTAAAGGCTCAATGCCCGCCGTCTCCCTGCAAACCTGAAAACACGGGTGGGTAGAAGAATGGGAAGAAAGGGCAAGGACTCCTGTAAAATGATCCTTTATTTAGAATCTCCTTTAGAGACACACAAGCATGCAAGGAAGGTGTTGTCTAAGGCTTTCGTGGCCGGAATCGCTGTGAGTTTTCCTGGCTGTAGGATCACGTTCCAGAAGCATTCTGCAATCAGGGCCAGCTAACACCTCCCAACAAAGGATTCCCCCAGGCAGGAAACAACCAGATCTTGAAGCTGCAAGGCCGTTCAACGCTAATCAAGGTGGCCAGTTGCAACAGTCACACCTGCCTCAAGCAGACAAGAGTTCTTTCTCCACAGATATATAAACCCCACTTGCCTAGTTTCCAACAGAGCTCTGCCATAGTTGCAGGCGAAACGTCAGGAGAGAATGCTTCTAGAACATGGCCATACAGCCCGGAAAACTCACAGCAACCACAGAAGGACGCGCTGGGGAGGGACGGATATTCTTCCCCTTGGACTGGGCCCCTGAAGTGCCCCCTTGCCAACGTATCATGAGTCTTTGAGTGAGAGAGAGAATGGGAAAGGAGCAAAGAGGTTGCTGCTGGGTCTCCCTCCTTGGAAGCGCTTCAGGTGGCAATGCCAGGCAGGTGCCTTTGGGGCGAACCTCAAGCGGACTTCCCGCATACACACACACCTCGCCCACCCCAAAGAGCCCCACAAGACTCCGCTTCATGACCCCCCCCCCTCCCCGCCCCATTTCCGCGGAGTTCTTACCTTTGCTCTGAGTCCCCTTTTGGCCCTTGCTGGCGCCTCCTCTTCTCCTCTTCCTACCCMCTTCTCCGTGCGCCCCAAACCAGTTCCAGCGGGGAGGTCTGGCCGTGGGGCAGGAGGGCTCGATCCCGGCCTTTCCTCCTCTTCCTTCCTCTGCTCTCCCTTCCGCGGAGGAGGACTGGAGCCAGGGGCGGGCAGCGAGCGAGGAAGAAGGGCTGCCAGGAGAGGAGAGGAGAAGAGAGGAGAGGAGAAGAGAGGAGGGCGGGTGGGTTTGGTGGSTGGCTGGCTGGCTGGCTGTCGGGCTGGTGGGGGGAGCCTCCTTAAACCTGGCAGCGCCTTCTCCCTCTCCCCTCCCCTTCCCCCGCCACGCAGAGATGGCACAGGAGAGCCCTCCCTCCTTCTCTCTCTCTTTCTTTCTCTCTCTCTCTCTGTCTTCTCTCTGTATTTGTGTACCTCGTCCGCTCGCCTTCATTTGCATCATTACAATATCTCGACAMGCCCCGCGCATTGTCTGCGCCTTGCACCTTTTGTTGCCTCCCCTGTCACGGGCGACGCGACTTGACTTTCATATTTTCCAAGGAACTGATATGACACCCGCGCCAGGAAGAAAGGGAGGGAGGGAGGACGAAAAAGAGAAAGAAAGGAAGGAAGAAAGGAAGAAAGAAAGAAAGACAAAAGCCCCCCCCCCCCAAGACAACTCCCAAGTTCGTCCAGGCCTCTCTTTCTCCCCCCAGGACTTAAATTGGGGGGAAGATGAGAGCCACCCCCCTCACAGTTTCTTAAAAGTCTCCCCCAGTGTTATAGCTCTCCTTCTCAGCCAAGAGTTCTGCTTTGAACTTCTTCTTCTGTCCCAAAAGGCCGATGTCTTTTGGTCATGATCATCAGAAAAAGCCAGCCATGGTTCCCTAAAAGAAAGAAGGGAAGAGAGGGAGGAATCTGGAGATTCATAAATTTTTGGTCCATTAGGCCAGTCAGCCGGAACTAATAGCTTGGTTGGGAAAAGGGGTTGGCAAGCTACTGCTTCCACTTTCTGGCCAAAGCAAGGTAGATCTCGGAACAACAACAACAACAACAACAACAACGTGTTGTGAAGGCTTTCATGGCCGGAATCTCTGGGTTGCTGTGAGTTTTCCGGGCTGTATGGCAATGTTCTAGAAGCATTCTCTCTTAATGCTTCTCTTACAGCCCGGAAAACTCAGAGCAGCCCAACAACAGTAACAAAATAATAATAATAATAATAATAATAATAATAATAATAATAATAATAATACAAGACTCCCACCACCAGCCCAGATTCATAATACGAATAATAATAATACAAGACTCCCACTCCCACTATTATTATTATTAATAATAATAATAATAATAATAATACAAGACTCCACTACCAGCCAAGATTCAAAATAATAATAATAATAATAATAATACAAGACTCCACTACCAGCCCAGATTCAAAATAATAATAATAATAATAATAATAATAATAATAATAATAATAATAATAATACAAGACTCCCACCACCAGCCCAGATTGCACATAATCCAATAATGGTTTTGGTCCTTTTGACATTAGCCATACAGACCAGGCACTTGTCGATTTTCATCCTATTTTATTTTTGATGCAAGGAGGAGGAGGATGGAAAGCGCAACTTTAGGAAGGTGGACCTGTGAACTTTAATATCCACGGGTTCATCCCAGAGGCACGAAAAGACCCCCAAATCCTCCAAACCTTCTTGGTTCTTTTGGCTCAGAAAGGTAAGAAGTAGGATGTATCTACACTTCCATGTAATGCAGTTTGGAACCGCGTTATATGGTCCGTGGAGATCCATATGATGCAGTTAAAAGGGCCTTATATGGGTCTACACTAGGCCTGGGCAAACTTGGGCCTTCCAGGTGTTTTGGACTCCAATTCCCACCATTCCTAGCACCCTCAGGCCTTTTCCTCCCCCCCCCCCCCCCCTCTCAGCCGCTTAAGCGGGAAAGGGGAAAGGAAAAGGGGAAAGGAAGGGGGCTTGTGGCTATTAGGAATTGTGGAAGTCCAAAACACCTGGAGGGAGGTCCTAAGTTTGACCATGCCTGGTCTACACTGACCATATAATGCAGTTGCAATCTGCATTATATGTCAGTCTAGATCACGCACTTCATCAGTTTGCAGCCCACGTCCCACTGAGTTCCATGGGTTCCGTCCTCCTGTTTTGAATATGAAGTCCCCATAAGCGTGTATATGTATGTGTATATTCCTAACATCGAACAGGGAAACTTCACAAACATGATGAAAAAAAAGAGGGAAAGACGGGGGAAGGGAGCAACGTTTCACTGGAAAAGAATTATCATCATAATGGTATGTTGGGGTTTTCTTTTAAAAAAAAATATAACAAAAACACCCGAGAGCAATAGCAACGAGAGAGAGAGAGAGAGAGAGAGAGAGCAAGCAATCCTATTTTGCTGGCATTTTCTGTCTGCCTTTGTGATCCGGTTCAGGAGGGGAAAGGGCCCCTTGATATGCTGCAGATAATTCTTATCAGTCCGAAGCAGCCCATTGCCAAAGTAACTGGTTTAATTACCCTCCTGTATCACTCTCTTCATTCGGGGAGATGAGATACATAACCAGATTTATTCAAGGAGGGTTTAAATCCACCCCATCTTCCCCATCTTCCCTCCCTTTGGCCAGTCCAGGTACAGGAATCTGAAGGGAAAGAGCAACGCATTCTCTCCTTTGAACAATTGGGAGAGAAGGGAATTATTTGCTAGGCTTTTTTTATTTTGGGGGGGGAGGGTGTTAGGAAAGGGGTCGAAAATGTGTACACTTGAATCTAGAAACCTTGGAGGAAATATGCTTGCCTCTGGAAGTGGTTCAGGTGTGTTAGGGCTCTATTATTATTATTATTATTATTATTATTATTATTATTATTATTATTATTGCCCTATTATTATATTATAATAATTATAATTATTATTACAATATATTATTATATTATATTATTATATTAATTATATTATTATAATATTTATATATTATTATATATTATTATATTATGATTATGATTATTACATTATATTATATTATTGTGGCCTTATTATATTATATTTATTATTATTATATATTATATTATATGATTATGGCCCTATTATTATATTACTATAATAATTATATATTATTATATTATATTATATTATTTATTAAATATTATTGTATGATATTATTATAGCCCTACATTATTATTATTATTATTATTATTATTATTATTGCTATTATTCTGCACTTCCTGATGAGATTAGAAATGCCTGGAATATTTCCCATCCTCTACCTTCAGAATCCCAAAATCACCCAACTTTTTATTCTTTGCCCACCTTACCTTTAATTTCCCACCTTGGAATTCTCCCATTATAGAATAATGATATTTTACTCTCCTTGGATGCTTGGGTTAGATTTCCCACTAAATATGTCATCCTTTAAAAAAAAAAAAAAGATGAAAATTGGGGAAAAGGCAGAGAGAGAATGAGAGAGAGAGAATCAAGCCCACCTCCTCCTTCCTCTCTTTCCTGCAGCTCGCCATCCCATTCTGCATAATATTGAGAGATGTGGGAGACACTAAGGTTTCCTTCTTCTTATTGGCTTTTAAAGGCAGAGCAACCTTTCCCAATCCCGGTTTTATTTTATTTTATAAAAGACGATATTGGGGGGGCTTAGGTGAGATATATATATATATATTCCTCCCGAAGCCTGGAGACTCTGGGCTCAGCAGCAGCTCCCGAGGTTCTCTGCCTTATTATTACTATCCAGGAGTAATTTTTCATCTCTGCTAGCTAATCTTTGTTCCTTGTGAAGATAATGAATAGTCCAATCCTTATCTCCCGGGCTCCTGGAGGCTGCAGGAGAATGGGGTTGAACAGGGTTGAAAATTGGTTCCAAAGTGCTGCTGAATAAATGCTGTTCCTTATCTCTCGCTTCCAGATTATCGGGACCCTTTCAAAACTCGCACAACAAATACAGGCACCGCATCTAATGCATCATTTACCAGAGCAGATCCCCGCGCGTTTGATCGGCAGATAGGCACACGCCGGGTGGGTGGGAGGGTGGGGAGGAACGGGGGGTGAATTAGAGAGGGGAGGGGGTCAGCAGAAAGAAGGATAACATTATTATTATAAAATTATTATTATTATTATTATTATTACTAATAATAATACTAATAATACTATTAATAATAATATATCATCTTTTTCTACTAAGGACAGAGGCGCGTTGGCGTGTGTGACATCGCATGCACACGTGCACATGGAATCCGTGGAAGCGCCCACGCGTGTCGGCGCCTTTGCGTGGGTCTGGTCAGGCTCAGCGGCTATTCGGGGAATGCTTCTTCTCCCTCGAAGACACCCAATTTTACCTCCAACACCATCCCAATCATCATCATCATCATCATCATCATCATCATCATCATCATCTCCCCCACCTCCTCCTCCTCTTCTCCAGAGATCTTGACCAGAAATACATAAGCATTTGGAGCACTGTTGTATGAATGCTGCTTTGACACCGCTTTCACTGCCCGAGCTCAATTCTATGGAATCAAGGGAGTTGTGGTTTCTTGAAGCACCCTATATCCCTGTCAGAGAAGGCGAAAAATCTCGAGAAAGTATAACACTCCTGATTCCAGAGCATGAGCAACCAAGTTCAAGTGGTGCCAAGCTGGATTCAGTGTGGACGCACCTTATGTGTCTTTCCCACTTCGCCCTCAAAGGTCGCTTTGCCAGGAGGGAATTTGGCCAAGAAATATGGATCCGGAGCCACTCCTGGGTGTCCAAAGAAATTCAAGGAGTGATAGATATAGCCAAGAGGGAGGGAATCTGGGCTGGCTTGGCTTGGAAGGGAAGAAAGGAAGACAGGCAAGCCAGGCCAGAAGGCATCATCCTTTCTACCCCTCCAAAAGCCCAGCCTGTATCCAAGGGGAGAGAGATCGGGTCCCTTGCTAGGAAAAGCAGAATTGATTCCAGGATTGTTGTGAGTTGTTGTGAACAATTTTCTCCTGAGGTCTCCAGAGGACCTCACAATCTCTGAAGATGCCTGCCATAAATGCAGGCGAAATTTCAGGAGAGAATGCTTCTGGAACATGGCCATACAACCCTGAAAACTCAGAACAACCCAGTGATTCCTGCCACGAAAGCCTTCAACAATAGAATTGGTTCCCTTCTGCTTTTTGGAGCTTCTGAACCCCTTGGATAGACTTGGAGTGGCTTTGAATGACTCCTTCCCTATTTGTCACTTTGAACTGTCATAGTCCAATAATATGGGGTTGGACTGGTGGCCTTTGTGGTTTCTCCCAACTCTGTGATTCTAGGCATCATGAGAGGTATAGTTTTACAAAGGCATTTCTGCCAAAGAGTGTAGGTAGGTACCCCACCAAATTACCATGCCCAGGATTCCATAGCATTGAGCCATGGCATCATAGCATTGAGCCATCTACATCAGGCATGGACAAATTGTGGACCTCCAGGTGTTTTGGACTCT